TACTACTAGTAAGGCACTTGTTACTAGAAGCGATGCACTTGTTCCTAATAGCTTCTTGTTACAACTAGCAAAATGATTGAGACCTTTTCAACCCAAAACGCTCACTAGTCAGCTTTGGTTCTCATGCCCTTCTCTTCAGAGATTGATTTAGCTTTACGGAAGCACCAGCAAAATTATCGGATATGGAATTTCTCTTCCTCGACTGCGGTCTGAGATCTTAACGTCGACCCTTCACGAACGCATGGGCAAGGTCTGCTGCAATCCTCACCTCACAGAATGCGACAATGTTGTAGGTTGGAGGCCATCGCTAGTAGGAGCAAGGACGCTACTAGTAGCTCCTGGCATCGCTACTAGTAACAAGAAGCTACTAGGAACAAAGGGCGTCGCTACCAAGAGCAAGAAGCTACTAGGAACAAGGTACTAGGTGGAGGCCATCGCTATTAGGTTGGAGGCTATCGCTACTGGAGCAAGAAGCTATGTGAGAAACGCAGCTTCTCAGAATCACGCCCCACCACCAATCTTCGCCTCAGGTGTGTTGGCTCTGTGTAGAAGTATGTGGGGCAGCGAACGTGCGGACATGGTCCAAATATGAATGTATAAGTAATTACTACACAAGGCTTGGATGGACTGAATTGCCCCGTAGGTGGCTGTTTTTGTGACAAGCAGTCTGAACACCAGCAAGACAGTTCGATCTTGATCTGCATCTAGCTCCCATGCGGTCCTATGCTATTTCTTGCTGAGAGATTGTTTTGGTTTCATGACCGAGCTGCAGAAGCATTGCTCCACCTGGTTGGCAATAGCACAGTTCCTGTTGCACTGGACACTGTCAAGCCAAGACTTGATCAATATTCAGGCCTGAACATGTACAAGTTTCAGTATGGTCCTGGTGTTCGAAGGGTTACAAGTGCTGCAAAAGACCTGCGGCAAAAACGCAAAAGCTTCTGGTTAGGCTTCTGAGATCTTGGGACGCTCCTGGTTTGAGCGACTCATTTCTCGTTGGGGACTGATGCATTGGTGCTTACAGCTGTCTTTCCGCATCCTTGCCCCCAACAACAGAGCCACATCCCAGCAAAGAGGTTCCTTTCTCGTGAGTTTTTCTAGTAGCGATGGCCTCCAACCGAATAGCGTTCTTGCTCCTAGTAGCGATGCCCTTTGTTCCTAGTAGCTTCTTGTTGCTAGTAGCGATGCCAGGAGCTACTAGTAGCGTCCTTGCTCCTAACCTAATAGCGATGGCCTCCAACCTAATCGAGATGTCAAGGATGCCTTTGCGTTTGAGGCACAACACTGTTGTCAAATGTTGTCAACCTCTTGGATTCACTTGCCTCGCAATTGACGCCATAGTATCCAAGCTGCTTTGCACAGCTGCATGCCTTGGAGCTAGTCTCTGTCTGGCAAAGGGAAGGCGTTTCCCAAGAAAACACGTTCGGACTCAGCAATCTCTACAAGACTTTCGTAGTGCCTCTTCAATCTTCTTCTTTATGTCTGGTTTTTTCAACGCCGAATCTTCGAGATTCGAATCCCAAGGGCCAGGCGAACTGCCCAGCTGTCTCCTGTTGGCGACTGCCCCGAGGACAACGGGAAGTCTAGCGCACGGCTACCATCCAGATACCACAGCCGATACCGGGCACCTCAACTGTTCAACCTCCAACATCCCAAAGAACTGCCCACGGTGGAAAAGCCTCAATGCAAATGCCCACGTTGTTGCAGTATGGACCTGAGAGACAAGTAGGCAAACATGGACGGTGAAGGCACACGGAAAATGCTGCGAGTAGTCTGAAGTTGGAGATCCGCGTCTATATTCTCTTGCAACAAGGGTTTTTCCTTTTCTTCATTGTCTTTACTGTCTTGATTCACCAGCAACATGCCTTTATGTGGTGAGATCTCTCAAACACCCATGATTGTAAAACTTCTTTGCAACACAGCTGATTCGACCCACTTTACCTGTCTGTGCGCAAAAGGATTTCTTTGACAGTTTGGACCAGCTCTGGGAACAGCTGGGGTGCCAAACAATTGGTCTCAGCCAGCTGGTAGGACTTGCTGTCGGCGCACGAAGCGCCTTGAACCCTGCCACTACTTCGATGAGAGCGTCGTGACAGGCTGTGCCAAGCTGTCCCAAGTCCAAAGATTCGGCCATAAAACCCACGCCCTTTCTCTATTTTTGTCCAAGAATTTGGCCCCAACAAAAAGTGCATGATTGTAACATGTTTCCTCAGAACGGAACCTTCAAGTAGCTGTGACATCGACCAAGAGCCATCCAAACACCAACATCAACCACGCCTGACGTCGCACTGACAGGTTCCATTCTCCGTGCAGAAACCTCGTCCTCCGCAACTGTCACCAGGACCTCCAGAATGCAGGGGATTGCTGTGTGTTGCAGTTGTCTCTGAAGCTGAGCCTTGTTTCTAGCAGCGTCCTTGCTCCTAGTAAGGCCAGGAGCCCCTAGTAGCGTCACTTTGCTCCTAGTAGCTTCCAGTACCCGCAAAGTCGTTACTCTGACCGTTTCAGCTCTTTTCCCTTCTCTGAGCCACCGAGCTCATGTCCACAGAGCACCCACAATTGGAGCCTTCAAAGCCAGTCCTCAGCGATCAACAACTTGAAAACCCAACAGGCAAAAGCGATTGACCCGGTGTTTTGGGAGTTTAAGGATGTTTAAGGACTGGGGGGCTAAAGGTCTCACAGCAAAGACCATATCTGACTGTGAATGATTCAGCACACAAAGTCGGAGTCTTAGAACACTGCTCGCACTCACAAATGCCGGTGAAGGGTGTCTGGCGCAAGGAAATGAGAACACATCGGAAGCAAAAGGTGCCTCTAAGACTCAAGTTGTACATGGAGGAGCACACAAACATGCCAGTAGTACGCAAGATCCTCGAAAGCAATCGACTCCCTCCTCACACCGCCGGAAGCATTCACCAGGAGGATACCTGGAAGGGGCAGTACGGTATTCTATGACAAACAGCAGAAAGTCTTCATCATTCATCGAGCTATGGAAGATCTTTTCTTTGACTGGTGAAACTGGGGTTGGAGGCCATCGCTAGTAGATTGGAGGCCATTTCTAGTAGCTCTCAGGTCTCTTGTTTTCTCTCTTTCCTTTTTTCTTTTCTCTTCTTGACACTAGTAGCTTCTTGCTCCTAGTAGTAAAGCCAGGAGCCCCTAGTAGCGTCCTTGCTCCTAGTAGCGCCCTTTGCTCCTAGTAACTTCTTGTTACTAGTTTTGGAGGTCATTGCTCCCAGTTTGCACCGTGGAATTGCAGAAGAATCGACACCCGAATCGGGGTCACATGTAGGCGGCGCAGCTGTCACAGGCGAAGCCGATAAATCCAGACCTTGAAAATGTCGCAAGGAGAGAGGTGAAACCCAGACTTGGGAATCAAAACTCCGGCTCGTGGCCTTTCACCATGTTTTGGGACCGCAAAATGGATTTTACAACAACTCTTTACCTCCCAACAAAGCTATTGTGGGGGGACCATCGCTATTGGTTCCTAGTCACAGTCTGAACATGTCTGAACAATGTTATTAGGGGGAGGCCATCGCTATTAGGTTGGAGGTCATCGCTATTTGTTTTACGCTCCCTTAGTGTTCTCCTTTTCTAGGTTGGAACAGTCTGAACATGTCTGAACAAAGAACGGACTCTGAGGCTTCAGGCTTGCATTGACAGGACCCATCACCCGTAGAGCCATCGTTGCACTTCAACTGCGCATCGCTCACAAGGCATATGAAGCAATACGTCTATATGGCCCCTTCTGAGTCGCTAGCAACTACAACAAACAACTTTCGAGGCCAAGTTGCCACATGTTTTTTGCAATTTGGAAAAGAACACAAACTGTTGAGGATTGAGGGCTAAACTGTTCCGGCTTCAGTACAGGTGCAGCTCCACCGGCCTGGCTTCGCAGAAAGAATAATTGTCGTCTTCGGAGTCCCAAAAATCACCCCCCAAAAAAACATTGCAAAACAGTACAGCATGGAGAAACACCAAATATCATCTTGAGAAACCATCAAGTGTGGGTGAGGTTGCCATGTGAATGACTCGAAGCGATTGAACATCTCTAGGCATCCGACAGTCTGCATCCCAATAGCTTGGCCTGAGAGTTCCAACATCAAGGGAAAAAGGATGCTATTAGGTGGAGGCCATCGCAAGTAGGTTGGAGGCCATCTCTACTAGCAACAAGATACCTTTATTTGTTTTTCGATGTCAACCGGGCAACTCAACCGGTTTGGAGCGAGCTGTATGACACCTGCTGGTCGTGCGAGCTGTCTGCTGGTCTCCCGGTCGCCCCGTGAGGTTTTCATTGCCCTGGGCTCCGTGCTTGCAGGTGCACTCTGGTGTCGTGGCACCACTCGGCAACGAGCAAAGCTCGGTTCCTGTCAACTTTACCACCGGAGAGACGCCTCTTTTGACTCCAAACTGAACCACTAGTCACTAGACACTAGACCATACTAGACCAAATATAGCGCTTGCAATCATTCCAGCCGCCAATCAGCGTCGCCTTCCATGTAAAAGTCCTCTCTCAATGTGTGGCAGATCTTTCAGGTATTTAGTAGCTTCTTGTTCCTAGTAGCGATGCCCTTTGCTCCTAGTAGCTTCTTGTTTCTACAGTAAAACGGAGCGACTTATCTACAAAGTCATCCAGCAAGCACCTGCTGCATAGCAGTGATCCGAACCTTGACTACCAATGGATCAAGACAAATGAACATGCATTCCGGAGACAAGCTTCTGAGGTGTGACAAGCTGGATTCCAGAAATATCGAAGGCAAATCACTATGATAAACGTATCTCTCCAGTGAAGCAAGCTCTGATAAAGCAACAAACAGGAATCAATAAGAACTGTCGAACCGGAGACTTGAGCGGTCTGAGCACACCACAAACCCCACTGCAATCAGAGCTGAAGTGATCGTTGTCACAAATGCACTCTGCACCTTACAGGCCAACCAAAAGGCTATTGCTGTGACACACTGTGCTCTAGAGGCCATCACTATGAGGTTGGAGGCCATTGCTGCTTGATTTATACTCTCTTAGTGGTCTCTGAGTTCTAGTGAGTTGGAGGCCTCCAAGTCTCAGTCACTTCCACTCACTGGGGGCCCCTGAGGCCCCAACTCACTCGATCACAAGTGCCAAAGCCGGAACAGCTGATGCTCGGATCACAGTAGCCTGGCTTAACAAGCGGCAAAACGAGACCCTAAAATCTACAAGGAGAGGCAAAAGCGGTGAAAATTGGCGAAAACAACTCATTGTTCTTCCGTAGCTTGTACTCAGATGATCTGTATTGTTCTTCTGTTCATTGGGAGTGTCTGGTTCATTCCTCCCATTGTGATCCTGATCTGCCTCTCGTTTGTGTGGTTAATTATCATAGAATCATAGCAACACGAAGCTCGACAAACTGAGGCAAACATTCTACACCGACAATGCACTGCTTTTGCAATCTGGCATGTTCTTATTCAGTATCGATCCAGCAAACCGAGCTGTCATAGCCCTCTTCTATCCTCAAGTCAATTTATATCGTTTTGGGAAGGCTGCATCAACTTGCAGGTGTTGTCCTCTTAAGGCTGCTTCAACGCTTCCACACCACACACGAGCTCAAGTGCGTCGGCGGTTCGAGAGCATGCCACAATCAAATTCCTGAGCACACCCCTCTGAACAGGTTGAGAAGATGAGATGCGGTGACTTGGCAATGGAGTTGGCACATGTTCCATCAGCAATTCTGACGTGTTTCTTAAGATCGAGCACAACACTTCAACGGACATGTTGAATATGGACAGCCATTGAACATGGCCATCATAACCCTTGTATAAAATATTTATTGGAAAAACTGTGTACTCACAAAGAGCAAGTTTGAGGCCATCGCTCTTAGATTGGAGGCCATTGCTATGAAAGAAAAACATATATATATTTTTTTGCACCTCCCAACCAATGCTTCTAGTAACAAGAAGCTACTAGGGGATCGCTACTAGGAGCAAGGACGCTACTAGGGGCCCCTGGCCGTACTACTGGTAGCAAAACTAATGATTTTAATTGCACCTCCCAACCTTTTCATTCACCTCAATGCCTCCTCACTGAGCCACCGTGCTTGATTGGCTCCACGAGATCTGGCACATATTTGTACACAGGGATTGACTCAGTCAAAGTGTCACCCTATCTTCAATGACACTAGTAGCTAATGGGCGGCTTACTAGTGGCTTCCTGCTACTAGTAGCGATGCCCTTTGTTACTAGTAGCGTCCTTGCTCCTAGTAGTAAGGCCAGGAGCTACTAGTAGTGTCCTTGCTACTAGTAGAAATGCCTTTGTTAGGAGTGCATCACATGCACTCTCCAAGATATATTTAAAGTCTATGACTATGACCATTAGACTTTAGACCTGTCCTTTTCTTCCTTTCCTACAACATCTGTGAGCAATATGCCTGTGGTGTTCACCGACACATTCACAGTGATGTTGACTCGGCATCGGCGTCGTCCTGGAGGTTCTTTCACTGTTGCATTGTACAAGTTCTCTCTATTCCACCATGTGCCCTAAAAACAGCAGAAAGGAAGCTACTAGCGATGGCCTAACAGAGAGGAACCTGGTTTGATGGACAACACTCAAAATCGAAAAGCAAACAGGTGCTAAGATGTGACTTGGATCAATGCGCGGCGGCGTGAATGCGAAATCCCAACCTTCCATCTCCTCAGCTTGTGGCTATTGCACAATGTTATGGCTGTAGCACAAAGAACATCAAAGAACAGCATGCTTCGCCGAAGTATTCTACGAGAAAACATCATATCTTTGGATGATGCGGAGATGCTTTAGAAGACTGCGGGATTTCAACACACTCAGGTGTTCCTGAAATCTGAAGCCCAGCGTCTTCCATGTCCATGCTGCTGCCATTGCTATCGGAGCGATTTGTCTCATTCATCTCTTCGGTCTCATTGCTTTCGTTGCTCTCATTGTACTCTTCACCTGGACCAAACGCACAAACATTGGTCCACTAGGAGGCCACTGGTCCCCACAGTCACAGGCTTCTGTAGGTGGCTGCGGGCTACCGAAAGAATGGTGTACAGGTCAATTGATCTTGAATTAAAGGTCAAAAAATGTCTAAAGACAGATATAAAAGAGACACGAAAGGAATACCAGGTGCGCAGCTATAGGCGTTCATCCACCACGGTGCCATTCCAGCCTGGGCAGTCAATGTCCACCTCCCGGATCTCCTCCGATCATTTGAGACCGTAACAGGAACGCTACTAGTAGCAAGGTGCATCGCTACTAGGAGCAAGAAGCTATGTGAGAAACGCAGGTTTGCTTTGGCCGAAGATTCAGTCCGAACGCGGTTCATCGCGGTTCTGTGGAGTCGATATGTCTGTGCGGCTCTCACCCCAAATCTTGACGAGTATTTATACCTGTGATTTCTCTTTGAAAGTGCTTCAACAAACTAGTAGGAACAAGTGCATCGCTTCTAGTAACAAGTGCCTTACTAGTAGTAACAAGGACGCTAGTAGGAACAAGTGCATCGCTACTAGACTTAGCACTCCGCATCCAAGAATCCTCCGTGGGTCCCAGAAGGCTTCTTAGTTTTAAAAAACTGTTTCATCACCCAAACAGTTGAGATAGCGATTCATGATTCCCCATGCATGGTGGTCTTAGCTCCTCCACAAAAATCTCCGGCGGATCGGTCATTCCGAGCACTTGCAGCACATCCTTCAGAGTCTTTGACAATCGTCGGCTTCAAAAGCGATAAGGATCACATCGCTACTAGGAGCAAGGACGCTACTAATCGTCAGATCGACTTCGGGAGACATCTACATCTAGTTTATCCCGTAAAAAGCCGCAATGATCCCCATGAGCAGGCCCTAGCAGCTCCAACCAACAGGAAAACAACAAATTCACTGGGAATCGTTTCACCTGTAGCAACAATAGAACTTTTTAAAAGTACGTTCCCCCTCCTCCCAACTAGAAGCTTCCCTTTATCTTGAGATCCTGTGTGCATGACACCAAAACAGCAAGGCTGTGACGTCCGTTTCTTTCCGCCTGTGCGGGGTAGTAGTGGGGTAAGCACTCATTGCAGAAGGATTCCACAGAGCGTGCCCCGGTGCCTGCATCCAACAGTTCCACAGGTCTGCTTGCAAAATGTAGGTTGGAGGCCATCGCTTCTAGGTTGGAGTATGTCTGGCGTGCGATGACTGCCATGTTACAGGAAGCGCTGCCAAAGGGTTAACTGTAGTGTTTATCCTTTTAGCGGCATCCTGAGGTGCTGACAAACACATTGCCCAGCTGGACTGCACCTTCGCTGTTGACCATCAAGGAATCTAAACTCTGGAAAAATGGATGAAGAACGCTACTAGTAATTAGCAAGGTGCATCGCTACTAGGAGCAAGGACGCTACTAGGGGCTCCTATTTGTGGTTCGGACATGTTCCGACGCTTCACAAGACATACAGTAAAGGCTTCGCACGTGCCAAATCCATGACAAGTCGTGGCTCCATCACCTGGGCAGCGCGTTTTCCACGCATATCCCATCATCCAAGCGCTTGCCCAACAGGGAGGGATGACAGAAGACATTGCACAGGCCCTCCGGATAGTAGTTGGTGGCCTTGGTGCAAGTTGTAAGGTGAGACAAGAACACCGGACAATGCAAGACAAGAACCATCGTTACGGTGGTGGGCCGTCGCTGCAAAAGTGTCAAAACGCATGCCCAGCATTGAAACAACACATCTAATCATCATCTAACCCCATCTTGAATCCGTACTTGCACTCGACCTCGCAACTTGCACAGTACTCGCACTCTGGGATGCGAAACACATTGGCTACAGGTCGTACCCTGCCAACCATTTCGACATCCTGCCATGGCCAAACAGAAGAATTGACTAAACATGGGCAACATGCTTGATCTTTCTCAGAAGCTCCTTGCTCAATGGTGTTTTGGGGTTCCGGCCTTCCAGCCTTGTAGATTTACACATAAAACGCTGACGAGTCTATGTTTCGCCTGAAATCGTTCATCCTTGGCTGCAAAAGGCGGTTTTCCAACATTTTCCAACACATGTTTAAAGAACCGGTTGGAGGCCATTGCTCTTAGGTTGGAGGCCATCTATGTTAGGTTCCTTAAAGTCTTTTATCTTCTTTCTAACTTTGCACGGATGACGACAGCTTCCATCTGAAGGATCACCTTGGCTTCCAGTATGCATGTGGTTCTGGAGGTTTCCATTACGCTGACGTGAGGAACAAAACAGCAACTGCAAGTCCTTGCCTTAGACTCTTCGGCCTCCTATAAGGCAACTAGTAGCTAAGGGCATTACTACTAACAAGAAGCTACTAGTTCCTGGCATGACTACTAGGAACAAGAAGCTACTAGTAACAAGTGCATCGCTACTAGTAGCAGGAAGCTACTAGTAAGCCGCCCATTTGTCTTGTCCTCTATTTCGATTTGCCATACGACACCAAATGGTGGGCCCCCCGGCAGGAGTCAGTGCCTGTGAGTGAGCAAGTGCAGGAGTTCTCACAGAGTGGGCCCCAAAACCTGGCGAAAGAGAAAGACACACCTCGAGGCTTCGGTCTGGATAACTACTAGCTTCTTGT